GCTAACAAAAACACAACTTTCCATTGAAGGCTAATTTAAAGTCTCAAGCACATGTCCTCAGCTGTTGCAAAATTATGCCAGTAAATGCAATAAGCTCTGTCCTTTTACATCAGCTGAGAATCTACTTGCGAGGGCAAAATAAGTGGATGCAGCTGCAGTTCTCTTCCTTGGGAGTTGCCCCTTGTACACAACAGATTGCAGGTGGCTCAGAGTTGGTATTTAAAAAGGACAAGTTTTGTGTTTTGGGGTTTGGGTTTTTTTTTTTTAATGTATCTGGTGAAGTTCATTCATGTGCTCTCTCTAATGGCTATGCAGGGCCTGTAACTCACCATACCCCAACGCAGAGGAAAGGAGGTGGATGGACCTAGCTTAGAAAACAGATTAAATGAAGCATTATCTCTCATGCTGTATCATGTGGCAGAAGAAAGATAAAATTGAAAATGTGACTCCTTTTTTCTTCAAATAATACAGTGCCATTCAACAGACTTAATTATCGCTAAAGACACATCTATTAATTGTTGGTCTGTCAATCAAAACCCTTATTAGACATGCGCATGACGTCACATCACAGTCTAACAAATCTTCCTGTCAGTCAAAAACCTTTATATAGATTAATTCAGTTTCAGAGGCAAGTTTTGTGTTTGACCTTTTACCCAACTTCTTGGGGGCTGAAATTGGAAAGGAGCTGAATCTTTTCTGTGTGCTGTCAAGCTGGGATGACAGGCTCTGGGCTGTCCATAGGAGTTTCCCTCCTGGCCACACTCTATGCTGCGGCGTGGAGCCTGGAAAGGGGCTCTGCCTTGGATGTCTGAGTGGCCTGGGGTGGATCTGCACTGCTACAGGAGAGCTGTTCTCCCCCCTTCTTCTGGCCTTCCGTACTACCCTGTTAATTCCCTGGCTGCTTGGGATATCACGAGGCTGTGCTTCGCTGAGATACCTATACCGGGTTTTGAGATGACACAATCTGTCCCACACACGCCGCGTCCACATGCCGTGTTGCTGTGGCCATGCACCCGTGGCAGTGATTGCTGTGCTGAGGGAGACCCAGGAGCCCTTGCCCCAGGAGAAAATATCTGCTTTGCTAAGGGAAGCATGCATGCACCTGAACAGAGCCGGCGTCATACTGGCAGCCCAGGGATTTTGCCAGCCTGTGTGTCGGGGTGCCATGGGTGAGAAGTAAATGCACTGATAACCACAGGGATTTGAAAGGCAGCCCTGTCCAGGTTTCCCAGACCGAACAGGCAGGCATGTCAAACCGCTGTTGTGCTGTGCCGCCCTGAGCAGGTCTGGGCTGTGTCGCTCGTGCTGCTCTGCCTGGGGCCTGCCCAGCACTTGTGAGAGGCTTTGAAGACGCTGGATTCCCTTCGCTACTGAGTGCAGGTTAACACAGATGTATTCAAGGTATCCCTGCAAGTGTGGCACCAGATTCCTGTCTGTAAATACAAAATTTTCACCGGCAAGAACTTCCGATTCTTTCTTGAATGGCGTGTGGTGGAAAGCAATTAAGGACATTTCTGACTGCTGGAAACATCATCTCTTCTGTTGGGGTGTCCTCGTGTGACTTCTCTCTCCTCTCCGACAACCCCTGACATGTTTCTCATCTTTATGAGGACGAACTGATGTTGTAGGATGATGATTATCCCATTGGGCTTGACACACTCTACGCTGCCATAGGGCCAAAAAAGTGGTGCCTTCCTAGCAGGCCTGGCTGGCAAGTCAGAGCTTGGACTGCAAGCGCTCCATTGCAAAGCACTTGTCACCATGGTGATGTCACATGCAGTTCTTAGAGATCTGCAGTTGGATACCAAATCTGAAGAGGTTGTAAATTTATTTACTGATAGTGCATTAAACTTTGTGTACCCAGTTGCACTGGCACTTCAAGTCTCTTTTGAACTGAAATAAAAGCAAATGGCAGAGGCTGAGGCTTTCAAGATAATATCATTTATCTTCTGAAAATCTGCTTTTTAGATGTCAGGCAAAACAATTTCACAATAGCTAGAAAAGATCTTGTCTGGCATTGCTGTATTTTTATTGTTCTTTAATGTAACTTGAAAATATTAGGCCATATTGTGGTGTTCAATTTTCTATCGATTTTCCAGACAGTCTCATCACACAAATGAGAAAAATGCCTGTAATTAGACATAATTCCTAAAGCTGAGGGACTTTGGAGAAAGCCACACAGCAAGCTTCCTTTGCATGTAAAACTTCAAAGTGCTTCCTAGATTCATGAACTACAGGCAAACTTGAAGTAAGCAGGAAAAGTGTCTGTAAACAATGAGAAAAAAAATACTGCTTTCATGTTTGAAGGAGGCATTTTTCCCATCTGAGAGAAGCTAAAACCAGAATGTTCACTTCTGCAGGACAAAGTGGCCATAGAGAGGTGGTTGCACAGCCTCTTCAATGCAGTTCTCCTTCCTGAGGATTGCTCACAGAAGAGAGGATTGCTTACAGAAAAGAGGATTGCTCACAGCTTTTTTCTGGTTCAGAGACTATTCAAAACTTCCAGGTGATCTTTAGGTATCTTCCTCGTTGGGTCTTGTGGGAGAGGAACAGCAGAGGAACGACCCACTGGTGCAGTGGGTCAGCCCATGGTTAGCCCAAAGTTAGGATGGCAAGTCCCTTACCCCAGGACCCCAAATTGTGCCAAAGCATTGTGGTTTTGAGCATCTGAATGTGGTTTGTAACATTTTCTCCCTTTTCTACTTGGTCTCCAGTCTTTGTGCAAAAAACTTTCTTCTTTAAAGCTGAATAGTGTTTAACAGTTGTCCTTGCATTTAAAACAGGAACAAGAAAAACCTAACCAGCCAAGCCAAAAAGGGTGATTTATGAGGTTTTATAAAACTTGTGTTGGAATAAAGATCATTTGAGTCATTCTCCTCTGATTCACCCATAGCTTGTGTGCAAGCAAGCCCCTCCCGCAGAGGAATTAGGCTGCACTCAATCCCTAGTAAATTCAGCTGATGAGATGACTCCACCGACCCTCTCCATCATGGCAGCAGCTCTCCCTACCTGACCCCAGGGCATGCTGCTGCCGCCAGCTGTGACTTAGCGTAATTCTGCTCGGCACATGGGCTGCTATGTGTCCAGGGCCTCATCAGGGGTGAGCAGAGGGTTATGAACTTCCTAGAGCTTGTTTCCAAAAAGCCTCTTGCTCAAAAGCCATAGTGAAGAAACTGGTCCTTATTGGGACAATCTTACTGCTTTTAGCTTGGGGTTGAAGCTTGAAGTTGCTCTCCTCTCCCTTCCCCTTGGAGGAAGGGGAAAGGCTTGGAGACTAGCAACAGTCTGCAGGACCTATTGGGAACTATAAAAGCAGTCTTACTTTTTTTCTGGCTGATAGGCTTGCAATCCTGGTCCAACAACTGCAATGATACTGAGGTGTGTGACATCGCAGGGGACAAAAAGTTGTTCAACTGTTGTAAGTTTTACTCTAACACTTCTTGCCGTGTTCCCCTAGAAGATCTCTGAATCCTACGTAACTTCTGCCACTGAAGAGTTAAAGAGGCAGCACATTGTGGCTCTGCCTTCATGGCAAAGTCTCCTTTTTTCTGGGATAACATCATTTGGTGGTGGCCTCTTTCTTAGGATGACGTCTTCACCTTGTTTTATCTATTAGATTCTATGGAATCCCCTTCTTTTAATAAATTACATATTTTAATGATATATTATTTTATACAAATATCATAACCTTTACTGAATGATGTTCAGGGGCCTGGGGAGGAGAGACAAGTGAAATGCATTCTTCAACTGTTGCCTAGCAGGGAGCGTCTTCATTGTGGGATGTTTTTTTATTAACCTCTTACACAAGCAGAAAATCTTCATTTAATTCAGAGGCCTTTTATTATAGTTTGAAGTTACCAGCAAAATAAGAAGGAACAAAGAGAGGTCTCCATGCAAGAAAAAAAGCCACAACACCCTGCCGCTGAGGATTCGCAGGGCTTTCAAAGTGTGCTTAATTCAAACAGGAGCGTACAAGTACTCTTAATTCAACCCAAGAGCAGGTTAACGCTGAAAGGGATTGTCCTACCCTCTCCACACCTGGCCACGGGGTCCCAGTGCCCCTTTTGCACCACTTCCATGCAGTGGGTTGGATTAGTGTGACATGAAATCATTGTTCCATAAGATGACTCACATTACAAAGCGGTACCCTGGGATCCCACCATTAAATCCCCCTCAAGAGGTCCTCTAAAAGCCCTCCTCTTAGGGGTGCCAGAATAGTGAAAGCAGAAGGCATTTACATTTCCCCTGAAGACCCAGTCCTTCCATTAGCCCTCAGAGCAGTTTGCTGACTAAATCTTCTATGTATTTGAATAATTTATCATATGAATAAATTCATTTATGCTGAACGAAGAGGTGGACTACTGGGATGCAGTAATGCCAACACCACAAAATTGAAGCTGGGGAGGTGGGGGAAATGAACCCCTAACAATGGCAAGCAGTACCGTCTGCTCAGGCGGCAGGAGACAGCTGTGACCACATCTGAAATATGAGTGTGGGGAGGTACGGAGCAGCATCTAAAAAGGGCTTTAGAACAAGCAGAGCTGAGCAAAAACCAAGCTGCTCTTTTTGAGCTGCAAAAATATGGTTGTTACAGAATGACTGAAAACTAAATTGCAAGTTTTATGTCTCATCCAAATTTTCCAATTCAGAAAGTATGTAAGTAACATTCCTGTGCCTTTTACTTCCCCCTGACATTTAAGAAAAAGAAGTCTCAACTCCTGCCAAACGATCTGTCAACCCATGCCCTTGACCTGGGTGAGTGATGAATGCATGTTACAGATGCATGCAGTGCAAAGACTGAAAATATTAAAAGCCAGATCTCAAGTAGCGTAAACTGGCTTTGGTCCAGCTTACACCAGCTGCTGATCTGGTCCATGTGTGTCTTACAGCAGGAAGTTGGAGGGATGAGGGTTTGCATTCACTAAATGCTGGTGAGGGCCACCTAGTTAGGCATGCTTTGCTCGCATTTGCCGCCAGGAAATTGATTTTATTGAGCATTTTTAAAATCCCTCTTTCTTTAGCTGTTCTTCAAAGAAATCATTACATGCCACAGTCAAAGCAGCAACCAGAACAACAAATTCATTAAAATCCACTTCATTGTCTTTATTGGAGTCCAGATCTTTCATAATCTTATCAACCAGAAGGGGATCCTTTTGGCCCTAGGAGAAAGAAAAGTGACTTAGCTGTGCAGAACTTGACTGCGTAATTCTGACACACACAGCAGCGCAACCCACTGCTATGTCACAAGCCCTGGTGCTACTAAATAAAAGGCTGCATGAAATACGTACCTGAATAATAATATATCACTAGCCACAGTATTAAAAACATAGGTCTGGAGTCCCAAAAGTGCACAGCAACAGAAATTGAAGACAGTGCAGCTCTTAAAAGGAATACAGGTACTGAAATGAATCAAACAGATTTTAGGAGCTGCTGAGCGCGGATTTCTTTTGACAAGATGGATCTGTAATGTGCATTTCTCTGTATCATCCCTTAACAAACAGTGCTTAGATTTTCAAGAGTGGTCGTATTATACTTCCATTCATCACATTCAGAAGATCTCTACTTAGCAAACAACACATCCTATTCAGTGGGAATAATAACAGTGACTCTCCTAATAATAAATCAATAGCCAAGATTAAAAGAAAATCCAATTCAAGAACATGGATACAATGTAAAAAAAAATCCTGCTGGTGGTGATAGGGTCCGCAACTATTTTTGCAATTAAGAGGATACAAAAAACCAACTATGAATTTGGTCATTATTCCGTAAAAAGCATCCATGCTGTGTAATCCAGAACATAACAAATGTGGCAAAGAGATATTCAGATCACCAGCACATAGCTGAAAGGATTTTCTTAGCATCTCTCTGCAGGGCACACAAACAGCGGTACTGTGGCCATCGTGCACAAGCTACTTTCTTGTCTCATGAGAACTGGTTGCTGGATTTAATTCTTCGAAGGACTTACCTATGCCCTATTATTAAAACCAACCAAATAAAAAACTGAATAAAACTGGATTTACCATTGATTTTTCTACTGCTTCTAGGCTGCCCTTGCCCTCCTGCTCAAAAGTGCAGAGGAATAAGCAGAGCACAGGTATCCAGCTCTGCTGCTGGTGGCACATGGCAGGGCACCAGGGCTGGACCACCCTCTGAAAACACACTTCTCAAATGGGACATTTGATCTCATCTCCTTCTGCCCGGCATGACACAGGCAACTGTCATCTGAGTGGCTGCGGCAGGACGTGCCTTGCAGAAGGAGATGCTATTCCTGAACACTTGGATAGCTGCTTATCCCACCCATGAAACAGCAATGCAAGAGGTTCAGAAGCTGCATCTTACTGAAAGGAAGTCAGTGAGCTCACTGGTGAGGAGCTCCTTGAGTTCTCCTTTACTGAGCTTGTATCTATCTCCTTCTTTGCCAGAGTAGTGATGGAAAATCCTGATCAGGGTGTCCATTGCATCCTCCAGCGGTGTGGACATAGCAGTGAGCGGGAGAGCTGCAGGGCAAAGATCTAGAGTCAGTGACATTGCACAGGAGCCAAACCAAAGGCTGGTCTCAGGGAAGGGATGGAGAGGAAGCTTGTCCTGCTTTCAGCTGGGATAGAGTTAATTTTCTTCCTAGTAGCTGGCATAGTGCTGTGTTTTGGATTTAGTGTGAGAACAATACTGATAACACACTGATGGTTTAGTTGTTGCCGAGCAGGGCTTACACCAGTCAAGGACTTTTCAGCTTCCCATGCTCTTCCAGGTGCACAAGAAGCTGGGAGGGGGCACAGCCAGGACAGCTGACCCCAACTGGCCACGGGGCTATTCCAGACCATAGGATGTCATGGTCAGTATAGAAACTGGTGGGAGTTGGCCCGGGGCAGCAATCACTGCTTGGGGACAGGGCTGGGCATCGGTCAGTGGGTGGTGAGCAATTGCATTGTGCACCACTTGTTTTGTATGTTCTGTTGGCTTTTTTTTCCCCTCTGATGTTTTATTAAGCTGTCTCTATCTCAATCCATGGGTTTTACTTTTTTCCCCCTTCACCATCCTATTAGGGAGAGGGGGAGTGAGCGAGTGGCTGTGTGGTGTTCATCTGCCTGCTGGGTTAAACCTCAGCATAGCTGAAGAGAGAAATTGTTACCAGTACTGAAAAAATGGGTTTTCAGTTGATCCATCTGGTCCACTGTGTGTGAGCAAGGCTAGACTGTTATAAAACATTGTCCTGAACCCACTAGCAATTATTCAAAAAGGTAAATGGAAAGGAAGGCCTTTATTTAAGAAAGTGATCTACTGTGCATCCATTTTGCAAAGCTACTGTAAAAGGAAATCTCTCATACCGTAGATGAAACCACAGGGAAAATGAGGGCACACACTCCTACCTGTTCATTCAAAAGTTTTCTCAAAAAATGAAATCAACAAGTAACAGTGGCCAAAGTGGATGTGCATTTATACAGAAGGCTCCACACCAGTTTCTTAGGTGGCTAGAGGAAAGTCACCAGTAATAAGGATAGAAGCATCAGCTTTCAATTTATTCAGTCATGTTTGCCTGGACTGACCTTTTTTCCTGTAAATTACCCAGAGTAAACAAATGTGAGCTAGGCACCTCCGAGGGTTTGCTTCGTCGGGCATGCAGTAAGAAGGTACACAGGGAATCACCACCAAGAAAAAGGATGGAAATGCAATTAGTTGCTGAGGAGCTGACTCAAAAAATAACTAAAAATAGAGGTCAGGTGAAAGGGAAACATTACGCTGATTAAACCACAGGAAAGAGATTGAAAAGGCAGAATGAAATTCAAGGTAAGACTGGAATCCCGAAGAATATCACCGTGCAAAGGCTGAGACTTACCTGCTTTACAGGCTAGCTGAGGTGTATGCAAGAAAATACTCAGATCACAGAAAGTGATGGTCACCTTCCTTTCAAAACCTATGCACAGGTTCTTGTTTATCAGGATGAGAGGGTGGATTACACAAATAGAGACAGACGTATAACTGTCACAAGGTTGATGGGGCTTCTGTTTCCCTCTGCATTTGACTACTCTGTTCAATAAAAGCTGCTTGCTGTAAATGGGTCACTAAAATATTCACTAGGCAGAGCAGAGGGCTGTGTGTGGAACACAGGAGATACTTTTTTATCACTTGACCTTTTAGAAATATGCCCATCCGGGGCCCTGAAAGTGAAAATTAGAAAATGTTAACAATCACCAAGTCAGTATAAAACAGCTTTCCCCCATTTCCGAAAGAACTCTTTCTAACCTCCTAACTCTCCCCTTCTACAGCTGAGGATCTAGATACCTCGGCGCTAACAGCCAGTGTTCAAAGACACTTGGGTACCTAGGGGTAGGCTTGTAGGTGAGTTTGCCACAAATCTCTTGAGACATTTACATTTATTGTCAGATGTCTCTGTAAGCCTAAAATGTTGGCTCTTGCTGAATCAAATTCTTGCTGTAGCACATGCGTCCTCAGGAGGAAACTAGGGAAGCAGTTTCAGAGGAAGGTGTGCCTGAAATTACAGCACGCACTGATCAACAGGCTTGGCTTCATTTTTATCAGCCCTGCACAACAGCTGCAGTTCAGCATCTCTCATTTAGTAAGAGGTCTTCCCCCTGGAGGGATTCCCCTGTCCCGACCCCAGGGCCTCGCAGGGACGATGGCTGGGGGACACAAGAAATAGCGGCTTCACCATGGTAGGGCCTATACTTACACCCCAAATACCAAATAACCACAGTTTTCATGACACCCACATGAAATGGAAACTGCTTGCTTTGGGTTTGCTTTCCCTCAGTGAAGCTTTCCACCTGCTGCACACACATGTCCAGCAAGCACAACTGTGCAGATAAACAGCAAGAGGGCACACAGCTGCAGTTCCTTCTCTCTTTTATTCCTTCCAGGGGGAAAGAGAATGAGATGAGCATTTTTTGTTTTAGCTCTGAAACCCTCCGGGCACTTGTAATTTTGAGTGCCACAGTAGATCTCAGCCCACACCTCTGCCTGCCTCCTTTGCCTCTGGACATGATGCTTCTTCCCACTGTGCCATGGTGACAAGTCTCCACAACCTGAGGGGTCTTGGCTGTGCCTCTGGAATAAGGCAGGGGAGGGGGGCACATAAAAGTGCTGGATCCCAGTGGCGTGAGAGGTGACTGTGTGTAAAGCATTGTTTATGAAAACAGTAGGCAAGCTTTCCTGGTTAGAGGTCTCTGCGGACATACACCATACTGCGTGCAGGGCATACACCCTCACCTCCCATCACTGCGGTCGTGAGTCCTCACCAGGGATGGAGGGACCCAACACTCAGGTAAATTTTAGAAAAGGTCCAGGTGGAAACAAGAGGAACCTAATCCCTCCTGGAGTCAGAGGAGAGATGGGGAGGAGAGTTGCTTTCCATACCTCTTCTGTATTTGGGGATAGCTAATGGGTGCTCAGTTTTGTTACAGAGGGAGTCCCTGTGCTCTGGCAAGCACAGGGATCTAGCTGGACCATATGCAGCACGTGGGAGAACAACATGGGTGATATCAGGCGCAGCACAGCTCTCCCACTCAGATCCTGGGCATTCTCTGTGTTTTTGCAGATGCTAAGAAAAAGCATGGTGTCTTTTATGCAGCTACAGCCATGAAGAGCTATGTCTTGCCTGTGATTCACTAGTGCTTATAACTACTGCTCAGAAATATTAATCAGAAAAACATCAAAATACTGGGTGGGGTTTTTTGCCATTTATTCAACAACAGTTTCACTCACAACCAGAAAAAAAACCACAGCTGAGTCAGTACATAAGCATAAAATCCTCCTGTTTGTCTGTATGTTACATTGATGCTCTGAGAGATGAGTATTGCAAATTAATTATCTAAGCAGAGTCTATAGGAACTTCCAGGAAGTGGGTATAAACTTTCAGAGCTGCCATCCTCAGGACAGAAGAAAGACATGTTTCCTTTATCATCTCCAGGACATCAGCTCAATAATTTATACAGTGATATAATCTGTGCAGTCTCTTTCAATAGCTACTTTCACTCCAGCTAATTGTGTAAGAAACTCTCTTTATCACACGGGCGGATTACATGTACACAGGGAACAGCTGCACTGAGGTTCTTTGTTAAGAGGTCCATCTGATTTACCGTGTCCATCCCTTTCCCCCCTGGCTAGTGAAATCCTGCCAGCGGCTCCAGGGACCTGAGATGGCAGGTCCCAGAGGCTATTCAAAATTCATTATTATCAGTCAACAGTTTTTAATCCTTTGTCCAAAACTGCAGCACAATCTGGGTTTGTGTGATATCTAATAGGCACTGAAGAAGACTGAAGTCAACGCAGCCGGCGAGCACTTCTGTGTCAGGGCAAGACCCGACTCCATGTCAGCAACCACCATTCCCCCAGCAGTCCTCCCCTGCACTCTGGTTTCCACCAGGCTAAACACGGGATCAGCACCAGACATCTGGTTGACAGAGGGATTAAGACTGCAGCATGACTGTAAACATGGTGAAAATTGGTGCCTTCCTCATTCATGACCAAACTTTGTCTATCACCACCTGCCAATCCTGGCAGTGTTGATGCCTCCTCTCAAAGCAGGATGATCACCAATGCCAGACCAGGTGAGCCATGGATTTGTCTAGTTAAATCTTTAAAACCTCCAGGGATGGAGATTTCACAGCTTCTTGGGTACCCTGCTATAGTGCTGCACTACCTCCCTGGGAAAGATGCTTATCCTAATAACCAGTCCGAGCATCCCAAGCTGCAGTTGTGGCCATTGGCCCCTTTTGTAACACTTACCACTACCACAAAGAGTTTGACTTTGTTGACTTTATAAATTCCTTTCAAATAGTCTTGGCTCCTCAGTCAAACTCAAAAATAAACTTGAAAGCTGCCTGTCCCGTGACATGTGCAATCTAGTTCCATGTTTTAGTGTCCCGTTCATTTTATGTGTTTGCCCCTTGCAGTCTGCTCCAGCTGTGCCCTTCTCCTAATGAGCATTTGAATATTATTTTGCTTGCTGCAAAATCACTGGCTGTCAGAAGCAGAAGGGCAGATTTTTCACCTGGCATGGGATAAAGACTCTATAGGGCTGAATTCTGACATCTTTGCTCAAGCAGTAATAGATGCTAGGCTTACGGGACGAGTCAGCCATCTGATTTCACCGGGCGCTGCTGAGAGAGGCAGAGGTTGTTCCTTGCCCTGTAAACCTGAGAAAGGACCCAACCAGCTATGACTGCTTCCTTCAGTTTTAGTTGGGTAATATTGAGGTACACCCAGCTAGAAGGCTCTATGGGACTGCTTCTCCCCTCCTACATGAAGATGGGGCAGTCAGACCACAGACAGAAAATCTTTTTGTTGGTCTCTACTCTGAAAAAACTGAGCAGAGTTCTGCCCTGTGTGAGAGCAGTCAGCCCTTGACATAGGTCAGCAGCCTTCTTCCTCCACAGCTGGGAAGGAGAAGTTTTGGCTTCTTCACCAGGGCTTTTCCTTGGTTTCTTCTTGAGACAACATAACACAGGCTGTCTTTAAGCCAGAGCCCCCTATAAAGAGACAGTCTAAGCCACAGTAAAATACTGCTCAGCTTAAGTGGGAGGATCTCATACTTAGGGCATCTGGTTTTCAACATTTGCCAGAATGCACGTGGGGAATATTTTCTCACAAATAATTATTGTGCTGGGAAAGGCACGTCAGCCTCCCACCCACATCCTGTCATTATTTCTTTTTCCCCAAACTCACACTTTTCTTGGGATGCACGTGTTTTGAATCAATGTTGTACCCCAAAGTGGCAGAAGGTGTGATGGGAAGCAACAGGGAACACTGCAAGGCTCAGAAGGACTGACATACTATACACTAAAAGGCTTACATTAGATTAGAGCCTAGATTAGGCTAAAGAGCTTATTAGTATAGACTAAAGAGCTTATAAGAGACTTACAGTTGAACCAGTATTTCTTGTTAAGTTATAATGAGCATTTTTACATTTTTAAGATTGTTAGCATTTTCCTTTGTGTTTTGTTTCCATATCTGGGTGGTTGACTGATTTATTCCTTTACATCAGGCATGTCTCCCTTCCCCACAGGTTCTGGTTCACATCTTCAGGATTGTTTTAACTGCTGTGATCCCATAGGCAGCAGACCAGCAAAGAGCTATTGAAGCTCTTGCTAATAGCTTTTACCACCTAAATTTGATGGTTTGCTCTGTAGGCATCTTTTTTAATGGGTTACACTTCAAGGGCTGCCTGACTGAAGCGTATCCTGATCTCATTCTTTGCAGAGTCCTGTTTTGGACAAGATTGTAGACTTCTTTTCCAAATACATAAATGACTTTTTCATTGAAATGTCCAGATCGTTGAACACTGCTTGTTCCCATAGTGGTCATTTCTCTTGTGATACCCATTTAGGACAGAAATTGGACCATTGTCTGTACCCGAGGTACTGATTTGGGTTACCACCTACTGCTCCCTTCTCCTCTCCCCAGAAAATCAGCTGCCATTTCCTCCCTCTGTGAGCAACCACCTGTTAACTAGTCCGTGAAGGCAACATCAGGTTGTATAGTAATGTATTGCTGTCTGGAAAATCGCCTAGAAAGCCTTCATTAACCCTAAACTGAAGTTCTGAAGTGAGCCAGCTCTGCCTCAGGTAGCAGTAGGGGGTCCCCTTACAGGCCAGCTCTCCCCCCGTAACCAGAGAACATGCACCTAGAGCCAGCTGGCTTTGATAGCTCACGTTACAGCTAGTATTTGGCAATGCATCGCCTTCTAAACAAAGCCAAGACAGTAATTCCCTTTGTGTTAAATCCATTGATCAATAAGGCAAATCCACCCTTTTGAGACACACTTGTTCTGACCGACTCATGTTTCTTCCTAATTTGAACTCATAGCAATGTGCAGCAGCCTTCGTCCTTATTCACTTCAACGTCCAGTTCATTCCACAAAGTTTTTGCAGCTAGCTTCAGGTCATGTTTCATAACTACTGGGACCCCT